CACTTTAAAACATGCAGATTCCTGCCCAGCCACAATTGGACCAGGCTACAGCACCTACCAGCTTGTTTGCAAACCACCTAAGGAATGGTTTGTTGTGACTGGGACCTGCAACTTCTTGTCAGCTTTTCCATTGCCTTTGCTTGTCAGAAGCCAGCAGTAAGTCACAATTTGTGGTCATGTGAAATACTTAATTGATTGTTTTATTGATTATGTGTATATGCTGCCCATCTCACGATCAAGCAACTCTGAGCAGTATATGCATTTAATAAAAAAAGAAATAATGACCCACAATCCTTGTTTAACAATAGCAATTGAGGTCACTGAGAATTGCTGTCACTATGTGATGCAGTGACATGACATTGTGCTTTTCAACTGAATTGCTTAGTGGTGGAAATTCCAGTTCCAATTATTGTCATTTAGCAAGCCATATATAAAGTAATATTACATTAATAACACTTTTATGGTTAATATATGTATGAACTTGGATGAAAAAACATGTCTTATTATTTCTAAATTTTGATGGTGTTAGTGTGTTCTGTTTTCTAGTCCTGTTTAATAAAACTCAAAATGATTAATGAGGCAATTAGATTAAACTGGTCAAAGTTCAAATCCATTGTGATAAATTAATCAGTTTTTGTTTCTTTTCTAGTATGACCATAAACGAATTAGCTTATTAGCTGATAGGCTAATCACAAAAATAATATCAGAAATTCCTGATGTTGTAATGAATGGAGACCCAATGGATCGTTATCCAGGTATAATTAGCAGAATGTAGACCTTTGTCATTCAGTTATTGACTACACACACACACATATACATTTGAAAGCATTTTTGTAACATTCCTCTGAAATCTGACTTACAATATATATATCTAGAACAAAATAACTGTTTTAGAATTGAACATGACTAACTGCATAGTAGTTCCATGCAATCCATAACCCCAAAAGACTACTGTGAAGTAATAAAATTCTCATTCCTTATAGTTTCACTTCAGTGAAGACACTGTGTTTGTGTGTGTGTGGCAAATTGAGAGATAAAATTGTAACATCAGAGTTAAAACATAGATTGGTCCATTATCACATCATCGTTGTCTATTTAAGGTATTAATTAGAATTAAGTAATTCCAACTGGTAATTTGTGGGATATTTGATATTGAAATATAATTCTGTAGTAATATTTAATACTAAATGGCAGTTGGTCTGTAATGTCCAATGATTTATGGATTGTACATTATTTTAATTATGTTTTATATCCAAAAATTACTTATAAAAGGGTGCTAGAGTAACTCCAATGTGTGGAAACAAGGAGCAGAGAAGAGTCCTCTTATAGTCAAGGAAAATCTTCTTTCTTTTTTTCTGTGTCACCTTCATTGCCATCTTCATAATGGCTCTAAGTGTCTTATAATGACAGCTGCAGTATAACAAACTGCTTGAACATATAACTGCATTAATTTTCATAACTGCTGAACAGCATTTTGGAAGATAAAATAAGATTCTTGTAAAGAATAGTTCTAAAAACGGAAAATTGTTGTTTAAGTTGTTTAAGACTATTAAATAATCTGATTTTGCTCTGTTAACAATGCAGGCTGCATCAATTTATCATTTGCATATGTGGAAGGGGAAAGCTTGCTGATGGCCCTGAAAGATGTGGCACTCTCTTCTGGAAGGTATAACTTTATATGTAAAATGGCACATGACTCAGCCTAATCTGCTTCTAAAGAAAAGACTGCTTGGAATTCCCAAAGAAATTGGAATTTGAAAGAAAATCCTAATAAAAGAGGCATGTAACACTAAAAATCTAGGCTGAGCCTGTAATCAGTTTTTTCAGAATAACCTTTTTGATTAGGAATGGCATTGACTGGCTTCCAATCATTTCTTTTTTAAAAAAAGTTATAATTTCAGGTTTTTTTAACATCTGTAAATATGCACTAAATTGGAGAAGTTAGCAGTAAGGTTTGACTATTGAGAACGGAATCCATTAGTTAATCCTTTTTGCTTTTAATCTTTTTTCTTCTCAATTATTTTAATAATTTGAACATGCAAATGAATTCAAGAGATGCTTCCAATGATCCAGTTCACATGTAATCCTCTTGACTACATTGTCTTATATTTGGGTCTTATTTCTTTCTTTTCTTTTCCTTCTCCATTCCTTCATTGATTATGCAAAATAAATCCTCGTTTTGGAGAGGATTTCATGCCACTTTCATTAGAACTAGGTTATCCAAAGTACTTTGATGAAAGTTATAAAGGAGGTATATTCAGAGTATAGCAAACCATAACCTGCTCTTTTCATGCCTACTCTTGTTTTGCATTAAAAGAAATATATTCTTTTCTTGATAGTGCTTGTACATCTGCATCTTTGGAACCGTCATACGTATTGCGTGCTATTGGAACAGATGAAGATTTGGCTCATTCATCCATAAGGTAAGCTTTATTTTGATAAAAGGAAAATTGTTTGTCATCTTTGTATATATGTTTTGTGCTTGATTTGTGTTTTATTTTATTTCAGATTCGGAATTGGACGTTTTACTACTGAAGAAGAAGTAGATTATACTGTAAATAAATGCATACAACATGTGAAAAGATTAAGAGAAATGAGGTAAATATTTTTATTAAAAATAGTATTTTTATTCATTTAAAATTAAATTTGGATAAAGATTGTGAAGAGAATTAGATTATTTGTTGTGTTCTTCAGTTGTGTCTGCTGTGAATGATCAGATCTATGTAGCTAATTTAAATAGCTGCTACGTACAGCTGGTAATGTATGCTGTGTCATTAGAATTATACTAATAGTAGCTATGCGGTATTATGGATCCATCACAGGTACCTTTGCTGTATCTGTCAGCAGCTCTTTGGGGAAAAAAGGATTATTTGTCTTATGACAAATATAATTTATAGTTCTGAGGAACTGAAATTTATTTTTTCTTATTTTACAGTCCACTGTGGGAGATGGTACAGGACGGAATTGATTTGAAGAGCATTAAATGGACACAGCATTAAAATACTTATATACCAGACTGCATGGTTGGATTAAATGTTTCTGTACATTCCTGAGGAAAAGTATCTCGTTTTAAGTGTGCAGTTCCTGTGTGACTAGTGAAATGCATTTTTTTTAAAAATACAGAGCCTGAAACTAATTCTAAGACAAGAGTTTTGTTTTGTGCATTAACTTTCACATAAAGAAGTATACATGGACATAAAATATGCTGACACCAAAGAAGTTGTGGTACTTTTATTTTTAGGTGATTTTGTCACAGCTTGGTATAATGAGACTTCAGAATTGTATCATTGTGGAAAAATGGTTGGTGTTGTTGGTCTTCTGTAAGCATCATGAGGCCATTCTGAATGTATTTTATCATGTTACTTTGCAGAAACATATTATACACTCAGAAATAATATTTCTTATAGAAAGGAGTTGATTAAATCCTATGTTTACACACTGGTGCTTGTTATGTAGCAGTGAGCATGCTAAGCTAACTAAATCTATAGATATATTTCCTATATAAAGTTCAAATGAAAGTAAAAGAATTAATGTTATGTATTTTACACAGTTATGTATTTCATGTAGAAGCTGTACCAATGCAATTTTTGTGCTTAAACTAATAGAAAAGAACATGGAATACAATAAAAAAAACACGCTTTGTCGCATTTGTAGATCAAGAGAAAACATTTGATAGAGTTCATAGGAAAATGTTAGGACAAACACTGACCCAATATGAAGTGAACCAGTGGTGGTATTCTACTGGTTTGGCACGGTTCTACCGAGCCGGTAGCAGCAATGGGCAGCGGAGACCGAACTGGTTCTCTCCACCACTCTGCTGTTGGGCCCACCCGCCCGCCTGGGCTCCCATACTCACGTTTATCCTCTGTTTTTGAAGCGCAACTGCTTTACGTGGCACAGCAGAGTGTCGCACGGCAGCTGCTGAAGTGACTGGGATAGTGCAGGCTTGCAGGAGATGAGTTGGAACGCCTCTGTGCCTGTGTAAAGTGTGTGTTTGGTGCGCTGTGTGCACGCAAAGTGTGTGCACATGCGCAAAGCGCGCCACCTAGCCATACCCACCAAACCGGTGGTAAAACATTTTTCACTGAAGTGAACATCTTATTAAAGTATGCAAAAGCTTTTATAGTATGCAAAAGCTTATATAGAAGCTTTATTGTGTAGTCAGAACAAACCAAGGAATATCAGAACTCTTCACAGTAATAACCAGAGTAAAACAGGCATTTGTACTATCACCATTGTTTATCACCTATATTTACAACATAAGCAAAGAATGGAAATAATATCAACAAACTACTGTTTGCAGACAAACAGGCATTGATAGCAAGTACATTGATAACTAAAAAAACTGCAATATTGTCAGGGCTCTAGCAGTCACCTCCATTTAAATCATGAGTCTCTAGCTGAACATCCAAAACTTAAAAGATTTATTAGGAGTAAACATGCTGGTGCTGCCTGGGTGTAGCCGACTCTGAGACACATCATCATCCTTCACCCTGGTATTCCCCCACCTCCTGGGTGTATCATAATTCATATTTTCCAATGGAACACATCCATAGCCAAGAGTCATCAATCCTACTCTCCAGTTAGAATTTTGTGCAGCAGAAATTTTGGTCACCTAGAAACTAACCTTTGAAAATATTTATGGGAATGCAAGCTGCCCACTGATCTCCCCCTTTTCTGTTGGAAACTCTAAAAAGACCATAGAAATATTTTATGAATTGACATTCAGCTCCCCTCACTTCTTGAAGGTGACCTGTACAACACCCCCCCCCCCCCAAAAAAAAATGTATTGCAGGTATAGGACTTAGGGTTGCGGGGAAAAAAAACCTCCCAAGGCTTGGTTGGGTTTTCTGCATGGAACTTTGTCACAGGATGATCGGCTTGGATGTTCCTACTCTTTACCCAAAATGCCTCTGATAAGGGGTAGCCCTTCCACTTGATCAAATATTGGAGTTGTCTCCTGTGCCACCTCGAATCGGCCTCCTATGACTAAGGGGCCTGGGGGTTCATGAGGTAGGGGCCTCATGATAGATTCCACCATGGGTTTTAAGAGGCTACTGTGGAATATTGGGTGTATTTTCCCTAACAATTGAGGCAACTTCAGTTGCACCATGACTGGGTTGATGGCCTTTACTATGGGAAATGGTCCCATGAACTTTGGCCCCAATTTCTTGCAAGGGAGTCTTAACCTCAGGTATTTAGTGGAAAGGTAGACCTTCTCCCCTACCTGGAATGGCCATTGTGGGGCTCAGTGTTTGCCTGTCTCTTATAGCTCTGTGCTGCTTTTGCCAGCGCTTTTTTAACATTCTCCCAAGTTGCTTTTAGTGTTGACATCCAATCAGTCAGGCTGACTGAGGAGGGGGGATCCCTTGGATATTCAGGCATTGGGATGAAGTCCATACCACTCACTACTTTGAAGGGGGGTTAGTCCCATGCTACTGTGAACAGCATTATTGTACGTGACCTCCGCAAAAGGCAGAAGGTCCACCCAATTGGATTGCTGATAACTCGCGTAGCACCTCAGGTACTGCTCTACCATGGCGTTCAATCTCTCTGCCCCCCATTGGTACTTGGATGAAAAGCCGAGCTAAGGCCCTGGGATGACCCAATAATCTGCAGGAATTCCCTCCAAAATTTGGCTATGAACTGGACTAATTTGGCTATGAATTCTCCGTGGTACTCCATGCAGGCGGTAAATGTGTTTCAAAAACAGCTTGGCTAACTGGTAGGCTGAGGATAACCCGCTGCACGGTATGAAATGCACCAGTTTGGAAAATAAGTCTATTACAGTCCAGATCATCGTGTTTCCTACACTTTTCAGCAACTCTATTATGAAATCCATTGTGATCTCCCATGGCCTCGTTGGTTCCACTACCGTCTGTAGCAATCTGGTGGGGTTTCCTGGTCGTTTTTTCATTGCAGCGCAGATGGTGCAACTCTTCACATAACTGTCTACATCTTTCTTTATGGCAGGCCATCAGAATTGCTTCCAAGCTAAGTGTAAAGCCTTTAAGAACCCAAAGTGGCCTGCCAGTTTGGCATTGTGGCTCCTCAAAGAAGGATGGAAATAAGAATGTAATTTTGTACAGTAGAGAAATCAACATCTAAAATATCTTAGAAGATACAAGAATCTCTAGTGTTAGAATTTGAAATTAGATTAATATACTATTCATAAATTTAAAAGACTACAGAATTTGATGGACTATAGAAATATGGTAAGAAGACTCAGAAAAAGATTCCAAACCAAATTTTATAGCAAATCTGGAGAGTGACACAGTGACCCATAAATTGAAGAAGTCAATCTACATACCAATACCAAAGAAATATTTAATGAAATATTCAAACTCAAAATATCCTTAATTTCACATCCTAGGAAAACAATGGATGGAATCAATGCAGATTAGAGGACTACACGGTATAGGAGAGGCCAAATGTACAAGATGGGTTTCACAAATGTTGAGGAACAAGATACATTATTGTGGATGCTTGCTAGAGTTAGACAATTGAGAAAATAAAACAATAGAGAAAAAAGATAATGTGTTTTATTGGTCACAGAAAGCCTTTGTTTGTATTGACCATTTCAAGCTATAGATCACCCTTAGCAAAAGGAGAATTCCAAAATATATTATTGTCCTCTTGTGAAATCTACATCCAGAATAGGAAGCCACAGTCTGGATGAAATATAGCAAAACAGACTGGCTCCACAGTGACAAAACATTGATACAAGGCTGTATACTATCTCATTAATTCAGTCTGTATGCTGAATACATATTGAAACAGAATTGATTAGAATAAGATGCACATTTAAAATTGATGGAAAAATGTAAATAACCAGCGCTATACTGATTACATTATCCTCATAGATAAAAATGCAAATCATCTTTAAGGTCTAATAATGAAAGTAAGGAAGCAAAAAGGAAAATGGAACTAACATTAAATGAAGACAAAGCTATTGAAGTGTTGACAATTTCTTCCTTTTAGGATTATCAGTAAAGGAAGCAGCATATAACAAATATACCTTGCATTAATGCACAGGATAGCTATGAGAGCCTTGGAAAAAAAATGTTCAGATGTTATATCTGTATTTACAAAAATTAGCACTGTGCAGGCAATACTTTCCCTGTGATGCTCTATGGAAGAGGCATTTTGGCTTTGAAAAAGGACAGAAAGTATTGATGTTTTTGAATTTCAGTGTTGGGAGACTTGTGAGAATACAATAGCCAAGAAAATAAATAAATGGATGACAAAAACAAAACCCAGAATTCTCACTCAAGTCTCAAATTGTATTTTGGGCACATTACACGAAGACCTAGTTTTCTTTAGAAGTCTATGATGCCTTATATCTTCTGTTGTATAACACGCATACACAAGATTATAGTCCTAGTAATATAGCAATCTGCAGGCACTGAGTTATATTTTCAGCCACATCTGCTTGGCCAGATGTAATGTGAGAATAATCTGAGGAACGGAAAGAACTGCAACCAAGACAATAAAATAAAATAAATCTGAGGTCAAATGGAAATGTAACTTGAGGAAATGTCTCAGACTTGACTCTCCCTAGTTCTGTTATAAAGGCAGGGAAGGGGAAGGCACTTTCAAACTTGCAAGATTCTGTTACTATAACTTCATAATAAGTAGTGTTAGTTTAAATAGCTTTGATTTTCTAGTCTGGTCTACCTCAAATGGGGAAAACGCAGCTGACTGAGCAGTGAAGCAGCGCGGACGAGTAGCAGCTCCATGAAGTCCCACAGATTTCTTCATGTCTGGGGGCTCTACAGAGCCGAAAGTCACCCTGGAGATGGGATGAAGGTAGAGAGGATGCTTCGGTGGTCGCGAGGAGAGCGCAGTCTCCTCGAGTGACCCAAGAAAACTCCTTGAACCTGCAAGAAGAGAGAATGGCCATCATGGCTGAACCGAAGTCATGAAGACAGCTGGGACAGAAGGGAAGAAAGCAATGGTAGCAGTGTGCTTGGTTCGGGTAAGAAATCTTTCTAGATTTTGCCATGGAATCTTTTCCAAAGCAACCCCTTGGAAAGTGGGACTCAAGGGAGGTAACTAGCAGCGAATAAGGATTTGGAGCTATTGTCAGATTTGGCTAAGAAAGAAAAGAAATTGTAGACAGAAATAAAATTTAAGAACAAAGGACAGATTGGACGGATTAGCTCTTTAAAAACTAAATCGTTTCAAATTCTGGATTATATTTTCACTATCATTTTGACTTGAATTTTGGGTAATTATTGGAAAATATTTGTAGTTGGAGCCCAATTAACACATTTGATGATGTTGAAAACAGTTGACAGATCCAGCAAGATCAGGATAATCAGCCTCCCTCCCTTAACCCAAATCTATTACAAGTCATCTACCAATAGCAACTAATGTAAAGGGTTCTCTGTCCAGTCATGTCTGATTCTAAACTGATGTTTCTTAGCTGAGGAAGCCAGCATTGTCTGAAGACATTTCTGTGGTCACGTGGCCAGGATGACTATACACCAAGGCACGCAAAACACTTACCTTCCTACTGAATGGTACCTATTTATCTACTAGCATTTGTATACTTTTGAGTGCAGCACTCAGATCACAAAGGGCTTAACATCTTTAACCACTGAGCCACAGCAACTGATATAGTTCTGTCCTATACTCAAGCCTGAGTCATGATTGAAAAATCCAGATAATCTGTTTCATTCCAAGCTTTCTGTAATTGCAGTCTTATCATCTTTCCAACAACTTTTAAGATTTTAAGATAAAAGCCCATGTGGATTAAGTGCACATGGTTTCTGAAATTTTGAAATGTCTATTTAAAAATGTGTATTGTCCTGGTGCTTGTCAAATGCCATTAGTTTTGCAAGCTTTAACTCTTTTATATTTTAATCCACGGAATTTGTGGACACAGCATCTATACAGCACTTGCAATAAAGCCAAAATATTCAGCCTTAGCTACTGGTAGAATTGCATCAGAAAAGC